TAAAGTTTTTATATTGAACTTTTTCGGCAATAAAGCGAGGACGAACTTCTCGGAGATAACCGACAATCTCGGTTTTATAGGAGCCCGTAACGACAATGTTTCTTTCGGGGGGTTTATTGAAATAAATATATCGTTTTTGAACTTGATTAGTTTGCTTCGGATTAGGGAATGTTTCTCATTTACGTCCATTTTTTCTATGTCCACAATAAATTTGATTTTATGTTTATGTCGATTGGAAAAAATAATTGGTATGTTATTATACTTTTTTATTTTAAATGAAGTTTGATTCGCATTTAAATCATTAATATAAGACGTGTTAATAAAATCCGTATTTTATGTCATAAATTTTGTTCTTTTTTATTTCACCGGTGAAATAAATCGAGATTGTAAAACAAGGGAATTAATACACGTTACAAACTCGAACAGAGAGAGCCTAATCAATAATTCGGGGAAAAGTAAAATTTAATAACATCACTCGTAAATCTTCGTCGGGCATGAAGCACCTAAAACACTCAGAGCAATTACCAGTGGCGTTCAATACGGATTAATTCATTTATATAAAAGGAAAAGCTTTGAGAATATTGTTTGTTGTTTATATTCTACTAAAAAATGGCTACAAATAAGTAGTTGTGACGTAAAGGCTAAATTAAGTGAACATCATATACATAATTATTGCTCGAGATTAACACGTTTTCGTTCGTACAGCGGATGCATCACGGGGGATTACCCGGATAACATCAAGGGTAAACGTTGAGAAATTTGGCCTTGGTCGTCGTCGCCATACATCATTTCTCTTCCCGATCGCGAACGCGGCGGGTTTCGACTTCGGCGACATCTATCTAATCCTAGATATCGGGAGAATGCCTTTAATCCTTAGAGCAAGTTTCCCCTTTTGGGGGGCCGGGTTAATTCGGTGCGCTGTAATGCCGGCCGACCGGGCGACACTCCGGGGTCACAATAGCTCTCTAATCCCTCGGAGGATTCCACGAAACAAACTGAAAGCCGTCATTTTGTCGAACAACTTCATTTCGTCCGCAAGTTTTCTATAAGGTCGAATGCCGCGCCGGCGACAAATACAACTTAGTTCGATGAACACAACTTCATAATTGATCTTCTTCGCTTTTGTGTACTTCGAAAGTTTCCTGTTCTATCCGTTAGTAGAAATTAACAACTATACGCAGTATTGATTATTTTTTTGAAAATTAAAAACGCGGTTCTAAATAAATCAGTAAATAAGAGAATCTAATATTTACCGCGCTCTATACACAAAGCCAACAAAAGGGAATGAAACGCGCGAGGAAGCGCGAGGAAGCGCAGCGCCTTTTCTTAATTATTCCCGAGTCTCAATTATGACACAACGATAAATTCTCGAGGTATTAATCCAAAATAAACACAATTAGAGCGAAGTAAGTGTAATTTTGAGTTTGTGAGGTTAGTTCGCCTCAAAGTAGTGACAAATGAGCGCGGCACATTCTTCGCCCGAAGGAGCAGGACGAAACGAAGCAGGTGCGAGAATTGGGTGGATGCGCCAGGCCGTAATTAAAATGTCCGCCGCTTGCAAAACTCCTCGTCATTTGGACAAATTTATAGTTTGTATATTGTGCCGTGCGAATTCGTTTTCGGGTACGCGGGGGAAGGCTGCGAACGCCGGCAGCGGCGTCGAACTAACTCCTTTAACCATATAGACCCTAGGAAAATTTCTCTAATACACCCTACACCTACATGGAAACTCACTTATTAATCTCCTTATCGTTTACTTCGTATTCGCTCGCCTTCATCACACGAATTCCTATAATATTTACAAAATAAATACCCCGCACTGATATAGAATATACGAGATATTCTCGTAGGGCTTTTTTTTGGTTCTGCATGCTCTTTGTTGGTTAAGAAGGATCTCGGATTGAAGCGAGACCAGTTTAATCTCCGGTCGAGCGGCACGTTTTGATTTAAAATTGTCTTAGATAACTTATAGAGCACCATAAGGGTCGACCCGAAAGCATTACCAAGATTTATTTACGTTTATGTGAAGACATCACTCGAAAATGATGATTTTCGGCAAGCTAAAAGCGTAGATAACCTAGGAACACACTTTAGTTTATCGCGGTAATTTAGCCTTGGTTAAAACTGAATGCTTTTTATTGCAATTACATTGATTTTTGGCGAACCACTGTTATTTTCTGCAAACAATAAGTCTCCTAAAAATACAACGAAAGATAAGTATCTTTATTTAAGGACGTCTTTTTTAAGGCGTAAATACGTAATTGCGGTAGGGTTTCTTAAATAAAACCATTTATAAAACATTTCGATAAGGGAATGTCCGAAATATCTCGACGATGGCAATTAGGGGTGGTTTTCCTACAAAGAAAGAGTTTTATCAAAGAGAAACTCGACCGATATATTCGTTACCTGCGGTGAAACAAAGAGCTGAAAAAATATTTGCCGTACTGAATAAATTTCCATTGAGTGAGGAGAGGAATGTAAACTAACTGACGAGCCTTTGAGTCAGCCGGTTGCAATTAGTACATGAATGATAAAATGGCAGAAAAAGCCAACGACACAGAAATAATAAAGAATGCTGCCGGTTTAATGATGCTTGCTTTGTACTTGAGTAGCCATTTGAAATGGATTTTAAGTGTACGCAATTTTGTGCTTTCCTTTTTTTTTACTTCGCCCGACGAGTTTACCCTTTTGTCTTTGCTCACTTCTTTTCTTTTACACTGGGGGAGGCTGTATTTTCAGACGCTAGAGGGCGGTTACTATATTACCACTTTCTTCACTTAATTAACTGGACTTTTCTCCCTTGTAATTTATACTAGGTAAACCATGTAATGTATATAGTAAAAATTAGATACTAATAATAATATTAATTTATAGTTTATGTGGAAAGTTCGTCCCTGGATTATAGGAAAATTCAATGAGCATTGAATGGTAATTTTAGTAGGTACGTGCCGAATCGAGAGAGCTAGACGAAGAATCGTCCGCCGTGCTCATTAATTAAATCGAAATAATCAATACTCTACTCTTTTGAATGAGATACTGTTGTAAAATAAAATTTTCTATAATTCCGTTCAATTAGCGCGACAAGTCCGGATTGAGTAATTAGTTAGTATTTCGAGGATTCAATAATAATGAGGAAATACCCCCTTTTAAACAGGGAATTATATGGTGCCTGTTAATTGGGAGAGCGTCGACTAAACTCAAAGGTAAAATTTAAATCGCTTTTGGCGGAGCGGCATTTGATGTCGTCGTCCATTTTGTTGAGGATTTTCCCGAAATAATTGAACTGATAGTATCGATATTGGACTATTTATTACTCGCTTTGAGCCGCATTAATTCCGGCATTGTATAAGTTAATACATTTAGCGAATTCCGTCCTGATCCTACCAAAGGGTGAAATCACGGAATTAATCGCGATAATTGAAAATTGCATTAATTTTTCCATTAAAAGTACCATCAATATCAAGTGATACATCTAATACAAAACTCAAACACAAAGCCGTCTCACGTAATAAATGATCTTTTCTTATGGTTATTATCCGCTATATATCTAACAGACACGACTCACTGGCAGCCTAATGATATTTTGCTACGTTCATCAAGTTTATTTGTTTACCAGAGCCACTCCTCTTTGTATAATAGAGGCACCCGACGTTTCGCTCCTCGTATGTTTATTGTGACGTAATCGTTCTCTATTGAGGCGTCTACGTCGGTATGGGGAGTTGTTTGTTTTTTCAACACCAATTATTGTCGTCCGATGCGATCGATACCCTAGAAAACCTTTATGGTTCCAAAGAAATCGCGCAGTCCCGAGCAACAGGAGAAAATTTAATACAAAAAAATCGTGGAGATTTGATGCTCTATTTTTTCAGTTCTTTACTCTATAATCTTAACAGTAAGAAGATACTAAAATGTGCATAATGTAGGAACAACATCCATTTTGATCCAATTTTTTGTTCCGACTATTAATATGTCAGCAAAAGAAGAAGAGACATAGTCTTTCATTAAAAATTTCGGCACCAAAATTTCCTTCTCGAAGTTGAGGCAACTCCTGTAATAATAAATTTAGCACACCTTGTGATTTTTTTTTATCAAACAAACGAGAATTTTCCAACAGAAATACACGTAATTGGACCATTAAAACTTTTTTCGGCTCATTATTTATTTTCCTTTTGTGAAATACGAAGGGCCGTAATGTGGAATACAGAAAATTGTGTTAGTCTTTTCGAGTCATTTATATTAATTTAACTGCCTTGTATTTTTGACTGCAATTTTCATACTTTTGTTACACCGATTTTACCCAGAGGAATTCACCCGACAAGTTTACTCGAAAAACTACACGATTTTTTTTATAGGTGCTCATAAATTTCGTACTATTTGATTAGCGATTAATTGGATAATAACTTTTCGTTTTGAGGTAAACATTCCAAATTACTAATTAGCCGGCATCGATCCGTTATTAGTAAAATATTCAGGAAAGTTTCGCTTATTTACAGCCGCGCGGAGTTATATCTCAGTCGGCTGGCTCCTCCTCGCCCGCTCATCGACTCGAACGCTAATGGCAATATTTCAAATTTCAAAACAGAATTTCAGTACGAGTGGACACGTATCCTGAGGGAAATCAGAAACCGTAATGCCGTATAATTAGCAGATGAAATCTGGTCTCGAATTTCCGGCTTGTTTGCTTCTAAACAAATCTAGATAGAAGTTATGGGTTGCACTTCGCTCCTTTTGGTCAGCGATACGTCGGGGGCTGCGCCCGTAAAAGCGGCCAGCTATTGTTGTCGAATTGGTAGCCATGAAACTGGATATCGCCGCGCGTTTTTATTACCTCAAATTACATAAATGGTTCTTTAGTTACCCAAAACATTGTTGCGGATATATCATTTTAATGGACGTAAACAACTAAGTATGAATAAATTATTCGCGAATTACAAGATACTCGGTCTATTTCAAAATTAATTGCCTATCACCAACAATGTTCTATCAGAATAACAATTGTGTCAACTGAAAATATTTTTAATTCCCAAATTAATTATTACCGTATTTACTTAATTTATAGGCGTACATATTTCTGTATCATCCTCATTTAAATATTACCCAAGCAAAAATAAGGTATTTGATCGAATCCCGGCTTGGTTCATTGCCTTCATTAACATAGATATGAAGCTCGGTACATTCGAGTTTCAATTCATCATATTCTGCCACCGGGATCAGGATGATATTTGTCCTGCGTGCGTTAGTTGCCTCTCTCGTTTGTCCCCTGAAAATAAAAAGATTTACGCTCAGTACAGAACCGTAATAATTTATTTTTTTTAGAACTAAATAAGTTCATTAAAATTAGATAGGTATACCTAACTATATTTTGTTTAAGTCATCACGAATTTTATAGGCGAAATACAGGAAAGAAATTAATTGGAGACAAAAAAAATAAAGTATTAAAATTGCCGAATTGGATTTTGTAACGAAGTGATTTTCTCAATCCATCCTCAACTTAACACATCCGTTTGAAGACACCGTTTTAAATACACTAAGATAATGAAACGAAAGAGACTAGTTTACTGTAGTAATAGTAAATCCATCTCTGTGTGAAACCTCACGAGCGCGTTTCTCTTTATTCAATTTACATGCAAATTCGTTACACCTCGGGCGCCATTTCCTTTTTCCTGTTTCTTTCTAGAGGCACGTCAGACATTGACAGATTTTCAACTCGATTCGTTGAAATCACTTTAATAAATATACGTAACCGGAGGGTGATTATCTCGGAGTCCATGCACTCCGTTTCGTTAGCAAGAATCGACTAGATAAATCGCCGTTTTCTTTTTGTTTTCGTTCGAATAGAGGGCTTTATGTCTCCAATTTAATCAACTAATCTAATTCTGTTCGAGAAATTAAATCGTTTGTTTTTTACTCGCTTTGGAAAAGATGGATTTAAAGTTTTTTGCTCTCTATAAGAGTACTCTTGATGATTTTTCAGGATTCGATCAAATCAAAATATTAATTGAACCATAAGAAAATGATTAAAGTAGGACATTCCTTATAGCTTCTATCAACTGAAACTGTAAACTGCATGTATATCTTAAGAGAATGTGGAAGATTCCCCTTAAAACAGCGACCGGTTCGACTGGAAAAAGAGATTTAACTGTTTGTTTTTCCAACAAGAAACTTAAACGAACGCTAGAATAAACAATTGCCCATTCGATATATTAATTAATCGGCGTTTGAACCGATCTATTAGCTCCGCTTGTTCGCTAGATTTTCGCGTATTCGGCGAAATTTTGTAACTTTATGAACCGTAAAACTCGTAAAATTCTCGGGCGCTAACCTCACCTATGCGGTTTTTATATCGGCAAGCAGGATCTTTATCGAGCTAAAGTTTGAAAAATCAAGCTGATCAAAGTTAAGTCGGTAACGAATATCGCTTCCTAAACACACCCGTAAAACGCTATTACCACGAAGATATGGGACCGTTCCGAGCCGGTAAATTTTATCGCCGAAATGCAATGGAAACGTTTTCTCGAAATTTGTATCAATAAAACGGAATTTCGTGCGAAATTGTGATTTCGAAAATTATCAGGAGGTTTCTTTGTATACGATAGATTTACATCTTTTTGAACACACTGTATCATATTTTCCTAAGCGATAAAAATAAAACTTTACCGCTATATCCCGAAGCGTAAAAAAAACGTTCTTATTACCTGACCCGATGGTCTGGAAACGCTATCGATATGCCTAAAACAATCTCCCGCAATGGTTTTGATTAAAGTAATGAAATACTTTCTATTCCGCGCTGATAAGAAAATATATTTATAAGGTCAAACGGATCCTCGGGGAATAAAAGAAAAGACATTCCCGGCATATTCCCGGCATATCCGGAATGTCGAGCAGGTAGAAATGGGAATGTCGGTTATGAAACTCAAAAATAATCCGCCGTTAGAGCCAAACAAAAAGCAAAGTTGTCTTTTCTTTTTATGTCGGGGACTTGGAATAGAACATTGTTATGAGTTTCTGCAATGTTAGTTTGTTAAATTTCCCCTCATTACCTTTCTATTTGGAATGTTTGTCGAGTTGAGTTCGTTACGGAGCGAATAAAAACCAAATGGAAATATCACTGTAATAACATCTTAAATTTTGATTTCATTCTCATTAGATGTATTTATATTGTTAGTATATGAAAATACTAACTTAATACTGTATAATTTAATGTGCTTAGCTATAAATACGAAATATCTTTTCGTGTTTGCTTGGATTAAAACACTTTGTTATTATACAGGAAAAGCTTTGCAACGAATTGATCGATATATTTATATTTGGTCATTCAATATGTCAAATGTGTAGTGAAGTGTATTTGTTTGTTCACCTCTGTTCAAATAATTGCGACGATAATGGAATTAAAGTAGTATCCAGAAAAACATGAACTAGTTGTAACTTTTAGTGTGAATTTACACAAATAATATCGTACGTAAAAATAACGATACGTCAATTTAACGCACGGAAAATTTCTTTAGATATTTCTTCATTATAGCCGAGTTGACAAAAATGATATATAATTTATATTTCCATTAAAATTTTATTACTTTTGGACATCTTTTCTCAATGCTGGTATTGGTAGGGTTCTATTCGTTACATATATAAGCGAAAAATGACATCCCGCAATCGCGAAATAATTAATAATCTTGCGGCGGATTGATCCTCGGCACAACGGTGCCTAATTCCCCCATTTCGAGAGACCCCTTTCGAAAACGTCGAAGTTTCGTTACAAGAAGAACGATGTCAAGAAAAATCCATAACCCTTACGTCACCGGTGTCACCGCCATTGATTGGATGTCAACCGGTTTGAAGGGAGCACTTAATTGGAATCCAGCTGTTGCTCTACTGGCTACAATTTTTCGGCGGAAATATTCGGAGTTATTTTCCTAATTTTTCCAAAAACATAAAACACGAATGCCGGAAGAACTTCGAAGCAATGTTGCTTCATTAACGGTCCAAAGTTTACTGCGAATTTACCAGAAAGCTTTGATGTTTTTACGTTAATTGTTGAAGTTGGCTAACTTACAAGTGGCCGGTTTATACGTATAACATTGGAAGTAAAAGTATGAAGATATTCTTTATGAAACAGTAGCGTTTACAATGTACAAAATAGCGTATACTCGCATAGCTTTATAAAACCATATAATGAAGTATTTTAATGCGCACCTGTAATACCCTGTATCTATGTAAATCATTATCTTGGTGGAGTGATAATTAAATTTGTAAGAATGTATACGTTTTACAACATACTTATAAACAGTGTTGCCGAAACTCTCTTTTCGCATTTTAGTCTCGTCGCGTAAATAGTCCGAAGCTTTTATGTTGGCGCGTCTTGAAAGGTTCCACCGGCGAAACCGTTCGACGACGGTGTGGATCTTTTATGGGGACATTTCTATATCTATTCGAAAGACGTGTCGAGTGCGCCAGCGGCGACAGGTCGGAGGCAAAGCACAGAGCCACCGAATAAGCCACACACAACATCTCCCGATGATTAATTCATGAGTTGTGAGTGGTTTAGGCGGCTTGAACGCCGCAAATCCAGAATTAGGATAGAAATGGGCCCATTGTTCTGGTTAAGGTATAAATTGAATACATCTGCGCGCTATACTGAATAATGCAATTATTATGTTTTTAGCGGTATGCGGATTATTAAGTTTGATACGGCGGGAAATATTGCGGTCATACTTCGAATCAAACCTGCTAGATTAAATGCCATGGTTTAATTACAAAGCTTCATGTAAAATAGGAAATCGCTTATGTATTGTCGTGGTTAACCCGTTTCGTTTTAAAACTAAATTACCTATACATTCCAATTAACTACCTACTACTTTTTTACCATGTAATCTCTACAGTGACAAAATACAATTATTTCTAAACTACAGCAACATAATATTGTCAGTACACGCCGTTTTGCTTGCACACATTTTCTTTCTTCATACTTAATAAACTCTAATTAATTTTAAATTAAAACGGTAATAAGTTTTCTCAACAATATAACCAGACACGTCAGATTTCTAAATTGTTCCCTATATTTTCCGAGCGTACGTCTCATAGGCTTTTATTGCCAATTCCACACTTTCGGCGGCGAATGCGTGGGGGTTGACGCTTGCTTTTATATCATCAACTCAATTACTTATTTCGTTATTTGCTAGTTTTTAATCGAATTATTTCATTACCCTTTATTTATCAAATTTATAAATTTTCGGTTTCTGTGGATATTTTAATACTTTAATATAGTAGATACTTAAAGGTGACAAAAAGTTGGAAATTGCGACCGACCATGTGATTATAATTCATCTAATTGTATAAGGGAGATCTAAAGCGGGCGAGCATTCGAGCGTTTCAGAAGAACCAGGAATATTTTAGGAAAATTCGTTCGGGAACCGTTTCAAAGTTTCCGCCGAAATGAAGTGGTTTTGACGTGACATCAACTTGTCAATGGGGGAAAATTCCGAAATAATTTTAGGGAGAAAGCTCTTTAATTTCCATTTGCAGTATTTCATTAGAACTAGCGCGAACTAATTCATCAACCGAAATATGTACGTGTAGTAGATATGCGAGCATATATAGTCAAAGACCGTGATGGCGGATACAAACGTTTACCTGGAGAGGCCCGCCCGCTTAAAAGTTACCTACCTAATACACGTTGAAAGCTAATAACTACTTTATTTAATTGAAAGACTATACTATATAACGTCGGGTTCGAAGCCGGTTTGTTAGTGGTTAGTTCTCTTTCTCGATTTTCGCATACTTCACAGAACGTTTCGATTAAAACTTAGTTTTGATATATTAATTAATATTGAAAATAACCTAACAACTTTGTTAGTTACTAGTATTAATAACTCACAGAGTTCACTACAAATTAACTTGACAAGTTCCGTATAATTTACGAAATTATTCAATACAAATTTTTTATATATCTAAATTATGTATAAATACCTAACATAATTAAAACTTTATCCAATATCCCATACCTTTTAGATATTAATAATAGTAAAAAAAACTTATTTACCCATCAAACAATGCAGAACAAATTTTTTTCGACCTTAACTACGTTTACCTTATCAGCAAATTATATTTTCGGTCGACTTCATCTTATATTCAATCTCATGAAATTTTTACCGGTCTACTAGTATTCATCCATCGGACACCCTTATAATCGAATTTGGTCCTCGAGGAAAAAAAAGTTGAAACCTCGGTGTGGCGTGACACTGCTATAGCTGCTACGCAACT